TGCTCCAGATCTACTAAAAATGTAACGCACAGGTTCCTGCTGTAAGCTTTGTCTAAAAGATTATTTCAGCCAAAGATTTCTTCCTCTGGAGGACTACCATCATACTGAACTGCATTTAATATTGCAGGACAGTTTGTTCACAGTGGTAAATTACTTACTCCACACTAACAGATCTTCAGAGAATTTGGCACAGGCTGGATTTATAAGGTACCACCTGTCAGCTATCAGTCACTATTAGTCACCAAAATTGCACAGTCTCATTTAGCCAGACTGGCCTAATAATTGTCATGGTTGAATCTACATCTACTTTGGTCAGTAACCAAGTTCCTTTTCTGGTTACTCAAGGATACACCAGGGAGGGTCCTGGCTTTTCCATGCTTTCTCTGTTGAGTATGGTACTCTTTGTTCCTGTTTATTTTCTTGTGTCTGCATTTAGTCAAACTGGTTCTTTGCGTTACTGTAAATTTACTTTGTCTTATAAGCCAAAATATATTATTTTTATTGATGGCTTGAAAAATGAGACAGGCTATCATGCCAGCATGCATGCTAGCCCCAGAGCTGTTTGCAGAGCTCATGGCAGTGAGTCCTCAGCCTCCTTTTAAGGGCTTGCTTCCCATCCTAGAGCACTGCTGGAAGGAATGACAGGTTTATGGGTAAATTCCATTGCCTTTCTGAGAGCCAGCAGCTTCTTCACTCTTCTTCATCCAGAGAAACATATAAATTAATCCACTGACAATTTATCTACTTCAGAAATGTTCAGTGGTGCCTGTACATTCTATAAGCCTCCATAGTCCTCTGTAAGTGAGCTGAGGACTCTGGTGTCTTCCTGACTCTTGGCTATCCTCTAACCCCTAGAGCCTTTAAACCAAAGGCATAAAACTTCCTCAAAGATCAGGATAATGCCATCTTTTTTGTGGTGGGTAGGCTGTGCAGTACCATTTGAACTATACGTTATGACCCACAACCTTTCCGTTCCTTATCCAGCTGTCCCTTACCAGGGAGGTAACAGATCATTTGAAGGAAGAAGCTAATTATTCCTTTTAAGCTTAAACCAAAGATGCAAGAGAAGAGGAAACACTGGAGGCCTTCCACCAGGCTACATCAGTGTGGTTGCTTGTTGGCCATATTATCTTGCTGAAGGTCAAACAGTGCAGTTGCTGTAGTGCTAGGAAAGGAAGATTCTTTACTCATGTTTTTCTTTAAATTGTAGATACACACTCCCCTTACCTCTGAATTTCCTTGTCATGATGGTTTTATTTAACTGTATTGTGTGCTTCTGTGATTTAATTGTTATGTTATTAGGGTGAGTAAAATAAAGCTGCAGCTTTTCTTTTGCTGTATTAGTGCAGTTTAATTACATTTGGGAAAGGCAAAAGGGAGAGTGGGAGCTTGCCAACATTAATGCTGTCTGTCATTCACAGCCCATTGATGACAAGGAGTTGAAAGCTTGGCAGTTACTCTGGTAATCAGCAACCTGGCTGATGACGAATGGAAAAGATTATGTGAATTTTCCTGAAAGGGGGGAGAAAAAAAGAGTTCTCCAAAGAAATAAAATACAAAACAAGAACAAAGGGCAAAAAAATCACCCCAACCCGAACTTCCAAATCAAACACTAAATCTTTTTTATGTTTACATGAAAGACACCACATGAAGCAGTTACAATAAATTTTTCCCCCCAGTAAGCTATGTTTAACGTCTATAAAAGGGATCTGCATTCCTAAAATAGGAGCACAAATACATCCACTTGATTGTTTAAATGGACTTTTTCCCCGCAGATGAAGGAAATGTATCACTGTTAAAAAAAACCACCCACCTTTCACCACTATAGATGATATCTATTTTAAAATTTAGACCACAGAAAAGAAGGCCTTCTTTAGAGCTTTTCCAAACACATAACTCCAGATCTTTCAAAATACAAATACTTTTTCTTTTTTATTCACTCTACTTAATTTTCTCCTTTTAATACAGGAGAATGCAGATATTTCATCTTACTATTGGTAACATAAGCAACAGCTATTCAGGCTTTGCAGTTATTTGTAGTACTCCAGCCTCTGACATAGTTATAAACTTCAAAAAAACCCCTCCAGCTAAATGAAACTGGGAACTACATCAGTGTTTAGGAAGGAGATATTCTACTGTAGTTACGTGGTTTTGCTGTGACCTGTACAATGGATGATTTGTGACATTTCTCATTTGTCTTCATTAACAGCTGGATATAATTCCAAAGCAATTTTTGGCATCCTTAGGAAGAAACAATGCTGGCTTGTCTGAAGTTCTGTCCTGTCATTTTTCTGTAGCTGCTGGATATACCTACTCAGTTTCACAGTTCCACATAATTGTACTTTGGGATTCAACAGTATTATTATATTCCATTTGGGTATCTATAGTATTACTAGACCATAGTTTTAAGAATAAGAAAAACCTGTATAATTGGACAATGTACAATTGTTCGGTATGCAAACAATTGTGAGACTTTTGTCTCTTCTACTTTGTCAAACACAACACAATACAAGAAACAAACAAATGGCTTTTAATGATGATGTTAAGCAACTCAGTTTACCAGCAGGTAATGTTGACTATGTAGGGCTGTGAATAGGTAATTTCTCTTTCACACTGTTGAAAAGATACATTAGTATGTGGCTGCAGACTTTTTCCCCACAGGCAGAGCACTGCAGTTTTGTATTTTATGAGGAGTTGGAGGAAACACTTCACCACAGTTGAAAGAAGACCACGGAGGTTTACTGGAAATCTACAGGAGACTGATTTGATTGATAAGTTAAGAACTACCTATGTATTTATTATATTAAAAATATAATGCATGTTAGAGACTGCCTCTCCACTAAAGAAATGACAATAGGATATTAGTTGCACACCAGACAGTTTTAAATTTATGTGGAAAAGATGTAAAATTTAGAGTAAAAAAGCAGCTGTAACACATTTTTTTGTGTTAGCAGTGAAGTTCCACTGCCCAAATAACAGGTCTTTCCATTCTGGACAATGAAGAGTAAGGCTACTTTACATACAAACCTTCCTGCATACACTATTTCCCCAGTGATAATTATGGCTAGGCACAACCTGATGTTTTTCTGCATTTGTCCAGGTTTTATGGACATGCAGGAAGGCATCAGAGGTCATGTGCGCTATATATTCAAGTGTCCTGGCTAAAACTGCACTGTTACTTGCACATGTGCATTAAATCCGATCCTTCAGGAAAGCATTTTAGGAGCATAAGTCAGACAAGTTTAGGAAGAACTGACTTCAGTGCATATGGATAGACTAGCTGTGCATGTGCAGGAAGTCTGACATGTCAAAGAAGCACAGAGGATGGGAAATTGGTAACGTAAAAGAGGATGGATTACAGATTTCAGAGCTATAGGCTGTCACTCAGCAGTGGTCTACTGTTCCTCTTCTGCAGTGACGCTGTGCTGACAGAAGGCTGCAAAAACTCTTATCTGTAAAAATCAAACTGCTCGTGAAATATAAAAAATCCTGAAGTAGACTAGATCTGTTCACTTAATGGGTGTTTTTTAAAAAACAGATTTAAACAAAACTACACATAAATAGTTGTCAACCACAGAAAAGCCAAATTAAGTACAAAAATTCAGCAGAAGTGATGCACTGTTATATAGTACTGTATTTATTATCTGTTCCTGCCTTCCCCAGCGATCTGAACTTCACTTGCCCAACTACCTTTCACTTTAGATAATGGATCATTTTCTCCGCTATCACTTGAAATTCATTTTTGTCTGTTGCTATGTAAGTGAAGGTTCATGTAAGAGCACTTTCTGTCAACAAAATTAATAATTCAAAAAATATGATATAGAACCTCTTCCACCTTAAAATAATCTCTTTGGACAACCAAGGGTAAGTACTTCGGGGTTACTTGCTTCATTATCCCATGAATTGGATCAAAATCCCACTACAACTACTGTTCTAACAGGATAACGTTATTGCATAGTATTTTCCCCAAAATTCACTATTTTGAAAAATTTAACATTTTGGTATTTTATCTGCATCTCTTTTTATACTTGATATTGTTGCTAAATTTGGTTTTATACTTGCTGTTGTGTACTGATGTGAGTTAAGATAGTGAAAAAATGTTTGCTGCTTAAGTTTAGACTGATCTGACTGAAGTCATTTGCCAAGCAGATAGAGCAAGAGATAGCTGATGCAGGAAAGCAATTTTTAAGAGCTGCAGTTTCTTCTGAAGGCAGGGTGAATATCTTCTTTGTTTCAATCTATTCAAGTAGTTCAGTTAAGAACTATTTAACTCAAAGCCGAAAAATCAACCTAAGAGTGGAAAAAGTAAGACTGCCTCTTTTCCTCTGTCACTCTACAGCTAAAACTAGCTATGAGAGGATAAGACCTACCTTCTCCAAGACTGTGAAGGACATAGCTACTAGAAATTTCCCATTTAATTCCCATTCTACAGGCCGTTATTTCAGTTCTTTCATGAAATATTTTAAAATGCAAACATGCTTTTGAAATGCATCAAGCACATTTAAGGTAGTATCGATGAACAATTTAAAATGACCACATGGAAATTATAATTGAATGTCAGTTTTCATACAGAGCTTGATGCAAATCATAAACAACTAAAACATAAGACACCACTATTTATAACACTAAAGGGTGAGAAGTCAATATTCTGAATAAATGATTTTAAAGCTAAGATGATGAATTCAATGTGTATGGATACAATGTCATCTCTTAGTTGAAGGATCAAAATAGCCAGATTAGGTAATACTGGTCAGTTGCAAATTTATGTTTACATCTTCTCCAAAAAACAGAAATAAATTTATTTTAAGAAAAACTACTAAAAACTAAAAAAGGAAGATTTAAATTACCATGATCAGTTTCTTTCTTCTTGTTCTTTTAAACAGTATTTAAAATGAAGGATTTACAGCCAGCTACCTTTACCCTACCTGGAACATTTAATCAACAACTTTCAATATTAAAGATAAAAATAAATAAGAAAGATGCTTAGCACATTTGCTTTCTTTTCTTTTTTTTTTTTTTTTCTTTTTTTGGTAGGAATTTATTACTCATATTTCCCATGGGGGAACTACACAGCCTCAAGATTTCCAAAAAAAGGTGCCTGTAATTACTTTCCTAAGCTTGTATTCATGCATCTGAATAAGTGAATTGATTGTGACTATGTTCTGCAGCTTCTAATAAGTCTCAACCATTAGGCTGATCAAAAAATTTTCAAGCACATTTGTATTGTTATAAAAAACGCTGACATGCCAAAATGCAAACCTTCAAGATAAATATATGTTTGCCAGTAACAGAAAACTGTGCAGGAGGGCTCTGAAGTCCAATCTTTGGTTTCTGATACACAGCCCAGCCTCATCTCCATCTGCCCGCATAACAGATAATGGCTCAGTGGATAGATGAGGTATTTTCCACCCTGTGCGGAGGCCTGTGTTCAAGTTTGGCCTCTGTTTCGGTAACACACTGACTATGGGGCTAGGCTGAGATGCATTCCTCTGTTTCCTCCAGAAAATTTCCTATTTCATCCTGATATAGAACAAATGTCCAAACTGCAATTTTCTTTTATACAACAGGTATTTTTTGGTTCAGGATTAAACAGACAGTTCGATCAGCGATAAAGTTACCATGTGCACTAAAAGCAGATGCAACTCCACTAATTGTTCCTAGATATCCAGCATGCTTCTTTGCCTAGAAGGCAATACGGGAGCAAGAGCGCAGGAATTAAATTTATTCCTGGAAGGATTTTAAAATATTTCATTTTAGAATCGCTCAACAATTGTGCAGTAAAGCCCTTTATATGTAATTTGCCTCTCCTCGATGTGTGCATTTAACTCTCCTGCTCTCTATTCATAATATCATAGGAGTGTAATATTATATATTTATGATTCTATCATGGCCTGATTTCGAAGCGAAAGAAAGCTGTGCATGCTCAGTGCCTCTGAGAAATACAACAGGCGCCGGCAGGAAAGGGGCCTTTCCTCTCGACACCAGCGATGCTCCCCTCTGCCCTACTGCTACCTCACACCGGATAGGACCTCGGCAGCCCCCTGGCACTGCTGAAGGGACACCCAGTGGCTTCTCTGGCCCCGAGTCGCTGCCCGGGGAGGAAAACTTCAGCCGCGGCGGTGACAAGAGCTTCGGCACTGGGGGGCGGCTGGCCCTGACCCCAGCGCTTGCTCGCCCGCCCGCCCTCCTAACGGTCGCCTTCCCGCCTAACGGCCAGCGCTCCGCGGCGGGGCCTGCCCGCACGCAGAAACCCCGGGAACCCTGTAGCCAAACTTCCCCCCGCTTGCTGAGAGGAGAAGGGGGGGCGACCGGGCACGGGAGGCCGGGATGCCTCCCCTCACCCCCCGAAAGCCCGGCGCGGAGCTGCTGCCTCTCTCCCTACACACAGAAGCGCCCCCCAGGGTGCTGCCTCAACTCTGCCCCGGGTCCCTCATACAGAGGGCTGGGGGCGCAGTCTTCTCCTCCCGCCGGAGGCGGCACCGCGCCGCCCCCCGCTGACCCCCACCCGAGGCGGGAGGGCGCCAACCCGTGCCTCCGCCGCAGCGCAGGCCAGCAGCGCTTCCCGGTCCCGGTCAGGGGCTATGGAGTACGGCGGGCCCCGTACCCGGCCCGGCCGTGGCCCCGGGCAGCTCAGCTCCGGCGGCGCGGGGCACGGCCGGCCGGCGGGGCTCCCCGGCCGGCCGGGCGGGGAGGAGGGAGGGCCGGCAGTGGGGGATTCCTGGCCCCCCAAAGGAGGCGGGGGAGGGGAGGCCGGGGGGAGGGGAGGCTGGGCTCCCGGAGAAGGAGGCGATCGCTCGCACAAAATCCTGCGTCCTCAAAGCAGCCCCGGCGAGCAGGGTAAGTATTCTGGGGAAGACCTCCCTGCCCCCGGCGCTTCCCCTGCCCCTGCAGAGATTGGGATCGGGGGAAGGATGCGTGCGGCTGCCCCGGGCGGGGTCTCCCTGCCGGCTCTGGGCGGGGGGATTGTACGCAGGGCCCAGTCCCTGGTGCGGGATCGGTTCGAGACAGCGAGGTTACAGCCTCAGCGCTGCCTTCCACGGCTGGGCACTGAAGGGGGGGGACGGGGGGGATGGGTCTGCCTGTGTTGCCGTGCGAGGGTCTGAACCCCCCCCAGCTGTACCCCCCACCTACCCACCCCCGAGCGCGTCAGGGCTTTGCTTCTCCCAACCAAGCTTCCCCGTGGCTTCTCTCTGCTGCTTAAAAAAAATAAAAAATTATATATATGCCCCAAAGCTAGAGAGAGTGAGGCGGTCGGGGGGGCGGGGAAGGGCTTCTCTGAGGAGCGGGAGAGAGGCGGAGGGAGGGCCGCCGAAAGCCTCGAAGCTCCCCTCGCTCTGCTTCCGTCTGCTCTGTCGGAGGTCGCCTGCCGGCGGGCGAGACGAAGGGGTGTGTGAAGGTAAGGGCTGTCAGTGTGCTCCCGGAGAAGGGCTGAGGGTTGCCGCTGCCCTGCCAGCGCCTGCCTCTCCGGGGGCTCTTCTCCCCGGCGTGCAAGTGCGTGTCCCTGCCCCACGCGTGTCCCGCCGCCTCCCGCCGCCAAGTTACTTTGTTCGCAGAGTTCCCGCGGAGGCTGGGCAGCGACCCTCGGGCGCCCGCACCGCTCATCCTACCCCCCATCCCCGTGTTCAGGTGTCACCAGCGGCCGGCGGAGACTTTCCGGGAGGGAAGAAGTCCCCCGGGAAAATCGGTGTGCACCTTCCGCGATAGCTTCCCCTCCTCGCGTAGTCGGAGGAAGGGGTGATGGAAGTGGAAGAACTTTCCTTTGTCGTAGTAAAGGATTTAGTGACCTCTAAAGTTTTGTTCCGGGAGGAAACCGCTCGATAAGTTTGATGATGTTTTCAAGATTCGGGCTGATTTTCATGCAGTTTATCGCTCTGTTATTTGGTATCCAGCATGCTCAAAGCAGTGGAGGAGAAGGAAAAAAATATTAGGGACTTTTCGGTAAGGATTTCATTACTTTTAATACACTGCTTTCTTAACACCTGCATTTTATATTTTGCACTTTCAGATGGGTAGTGTGGAATACATTCATAAATGCGTATTCTTGTCTGTGGATTAACGGAGGGCATAAAGATGGGGAACATGCAGAAACTAGACAGATCTTAAACATTCCATTTTCTTTGACAGAAGATCAATAGTTGAAGATTTCTGCTTACACAATCTCTACCTTGACAATATCATAATTAAGAGATCCGCTGATAATGTATGGGATTGATAGCCATTTCAACTTCAGTTAAGGCTTAATGAATTTTGCACATAATTATTACTACAGTAAAGGAGCTTCGGATATTCTGGATGAATTGATAACTAGGCAAGATTATTAAACTTTGTGATTGGCTCCTGGTGAAGTGAACCCTCAGTTTTTTCAAAAGAATATCAATAGATATTTAAAATATAAGACAACATTTTAAAATGTTCATGTCTGGAATTTGGCAATCGATAAAGAGTATCTCTTTTGAGATGACAACTGAAGGGTTATATGATGGCAGTCTGTATTGCACCCATTCATAATGAACAGTTTAATGATGCCAGGCACTGTAAATTTTCGGGTAGTGTACTACAGAAATAGGGGGGAGTTAATTTCTATTTTACATTTGTATTTTTTTGAAATTATTTAATGTAGTGGTTATCTCATATACGATACAAATGTATGAACTGTTTAATACTAATAATTAACCCATGAAATTTTAATGGTGTTTAAACAGTTTTATCTTGGCATTTGGTTTGTTTCATTGTCTCAAGCCTTCTGAGACAGAAGAATCTGAAAATTTCTTCCTTGCACATTATTCCCATTCTCTTTTCTCCCTCCTCTCCTTCAGTCTAATTCAAAGCAGAGTAACCGCTAAGAATACCTGTATAAGTTTGTGTGAAGAAAAATGCCCGTTTTAAAGATGCATGAATGTACTTGGTGGATGAGAACAAACCCCTCATGCCCTGTACAAAAACCTACTGGGCTGGTGTTAACAAGATACTTGTTTTGGTATTGGTTTGTGATGCCAAACAACAAACATGAGAGAATGCAAAGATAAAGCTGGCGCTTTGATCTTTGTTTAAACAGGTCATGGTCTTATTTAATGCTGCATGCTCATTATGGGCTCTGTCATAAGGAATGTAAAGCAGAGTGGACTTCTGATTTGGCATACGTAGTCAATTCTGACATTCATGTTTCTGTTCCTTGAGTTAATGGCTCATAGAATATAGTGATGTTTGTGATCATACTTATTTAATTGATTTTATTATAAGGAATTGGAAAAAAAAGGTCTGGATTAGGGTATTTTAGGAACCAAATAACAAATCTGCTGCCTCAGGTGCAGTCCTCCTCACCTGAAGAATTACACAGGAGTGAGCTCTTCTACATAGTGAAACACCCACAAGTACATAAAAAGGTTACTGTTTTTTAAGTCAGCTAGAGTTCTGCCACTGAATTACAAGGAAGGAGACTCTAATGTCCTGAAACCATGTGTAACTGCTTAGTTAATTCTCAGATCAGTTTATTTTTTCAGACATATGGTACCAATATAATATAGTAAAGAAAAAAGTGCATTTATAATGGAGAATTTTAATATTTTGTCCATGAAAACAGTTTTCGTCTCAAATGATAATACAGTGAAAACAGATCAATGCAGTCCATTTGATTCTTGCTGAACCCTGGTTTGAAGAATTCAGGGAGGATGTATAAGATAGTCTGAAGGAAAAGCCTTTCAGCATGTTCCGTTACAGTAAGATATATTAGGATCTTACAACATGGAGTATCAGCTATCAGAGTAAGACTTCAGTGTAGTGCTGGAAACTTTAATTTATATGTTTTGGATTGTACACCAGTTTGGATTCTGTGATCATTGTCCATAAGAAAATTGGGTCTGTGTGAGAGTGTCTGAGGGAAAGGTGTTTTTGTAATTGTTATTTCTAACTTAAAATACATGCTTCTGTTTAAATCCTGGATATTCCTGGTTATGTTTCAAAATGTAAGCAAAGTTAGTAATTGAAGAGAGTCCTTAAAGGTAAGCGAGCTGGCTGTTGTCCTTTGACTTTTTTAGTCATCTTTTCAGGTAAGGTTGCAGAATGACAGTCCAGTATAAGATCTGTTGCAAAAAGGAGCAGAGCTGTTATGGTAATGGCTTCTTGCAGTGACCACCTCTGGAGGCTGAAGCAGTTCATTCTTTATGGCTGGTCCACTGCTTGACCTCATTGTTGAAACTGTCAACAGGTGTCACAGTTCTGCTGTGATTTGATAAGACAGTGGAAATTGCATTAGGATTAGCAAATAACCATCATGGTATATATGTACTAGCAGTCATAACTCATTTGGGATTCATTACACTAGCCTAAATACAAAATACTTAATGTTTTCCATTCAGTCACTGTTTAAAATGCCATTATTTACTATGGGAGTAAGATTGTGTTCACGTCATTTAAATATGCTGTATTGTGTGACTTTGGAAAGCCATACTAATATTAGTATAATAAGGACTTCTCTCTTACTCAGAGGTGTAATACAGATGTATAATATATTTCAGTTGCAAGTATTTGCACTTACTTGGTGTATATTTTTAATGTATATATTTCTGCTAAACCCAAGGTCACTATATTTAGTATGAATTACTTTGAAAGCTGTTTTTCATGTGTCATGTCCTCTCGACCTTTTAAATTCAGTTCCTCTGCCATACAGCCGGTCCAGTTTCCCTTATGGCAGGTGATGGTTTTGCCATTCAACCAAAGACTGAAGCCAGCAGAGCAGCTGTAGAAGCAGCATACAAAGGAGACTGATGGTTACTGATATTTTTGACTGTTTTTTCTCTGCCTCTTCCTAATTGGCTGTTTTGTTCAAGCTTCCTTTTTGCCAGCTCTCACAGTCACATCACTTTGCTTAACGTGCTGTATAGCTCAAACATCCTGCATGCCACTTTATTTCTTACCCCCTTTTTCCTCCTCTCACTGTCTCTGTCGTACCCCATCTTCTTGCTGCTTTTGTCTTTCGTGACGCTAATCTTGCTTATTTTTTCCTTCTCCGTAGAAGAAAATGGAAAGAACATAGTGTTCTGCCACTGCACTGACAATTTCTCTCTGTGGCTGTGTTATTTTTCTCCCATATCCTTTGTTGAGTTTCTGGAGACTAAGCTGTTTGGGGCAGACTTTCTGTTACTGTA